GTTTTGCTCTACACTGACCTCAAGTGGATTTGAGAAGTAACTGATATCAAGAGTTTTAGTGATAAATAATACACTAATTCTATTTTTAGAGTTGCTTCAAACTCAGCTTAGACTTTTTGTATATTTGCTGCAGAAAACCTGCACGTTTTCGAGGAACTAAATCCAAATGAATGCAGTAATTTACAGCAGATTTCTCACGAATCATTTGCTGTCAGTTGTTTCAGTTCTGTTCTGTGATGTCATCTTTTCCTGATCACACTAAAAGTCTTTAGACAAAGCATTAGTTCTCATCATTTTTATTGCAAATGGAGCCATAGTTTAAGTAATTAAAAGCCGTTTGTTTTGGAAGCATTTGAAAGCAGGAAGTGAGATAGCAGAAGTAAATGTTGATCTGAGTAATAACTTATCTGAGAAATAAAATCACCTGGTTCGTCTATCTGCTGTTTGAAGAAGTTCACTGTACGTCTGTTTCTCACTTCTGTCCTCGGATCGTTTGTACAAATTAGGTTAGGGTTTGACCTTTAAGAGCCATGAAACATAAAAACTACTCCTCATGACTCTGGATCAGCTCTGACCTGTTGGGTGTTGGACATGAGATCTGTGGGCCTGACCACGGGTGTCTGGTATCAGATCCTTTGAGTCATGGGGTTTACAGGGTGGAGTTTGTGTGGCTCAGGCTTGTCGCGGCGCATCCTGTGAATGCTCAGATTAAGTTGAGGAGCTGGTGTTTTTTCAGACAGCTCCTGAGCGTTTTTTGCCGTCTGACATGACGAGGCCACATCATGTCAGTAATTAGTGTGCACTAGTGTGTGCTTAGTCTGTGTCGATCCCTATGGAACAGGAGGATCCAGATTTTTTTTTTTTAGAAAAATAATTCATTTTCAAAAAAAGATTTGTGTTTTTACCCTCACCTAACATTTATTAAACCTTTATCCTGTTAACCCTAACCCAAAATAAACAAGTAACCTTGGCTATAAATAGATGGGAAGTAACCACAAACTGCGAGTGTACTGTGGGCGGTACATTGAGCGTTAAGGGGTTTTAACCAGGTAGATCTCATTGAGATTAAAAGTCTCTTTTTCAAATGAGAAATGGCCAAGAATGGCAACAACACACAGACATTACCAAATCCCAAAGTACAGATATTAAAGTACAATTAAATACAGCTGGTAAAACAAGTATTGAACACGTCAACATTTTTCTCAGTAAATATATTACTAGAGGCGTTAATGACATGAAATTTTCACCAGATGTTGGTAACAACCCAAGTGATCCATACATACAAAGAAATCAAACCATAAATTCTAAAAATTAAGTTATTTGT